TAGCCTTAATAGAAGGATTTCTGTGGGTGAAGTAGCACATTGTTAATGAAAGTAATTTGAAATTTGATAAAGAAGTTTCTTATGTTTGTACAATCTGCTTTAAAGCGAAGTACATGTACAACAATACAGAAGTGCTATTTAACGCTTAATACTATTTTCACACACAAACACTGGTTTTTAATTCATATAAAAGCAAAGAGCATTGTTTTGTGTTTTCTCCCAGAGTGCCTTTCTGTTCTAGTCCTAGAAGTAAGTTAAACCATCTTGTGGCATAAATGTAAGATTCCATGTTGTCTGCAAAGGACTACTATCCTTTTTAGTATAGGTACTGATTGGCTGTTGAACTTCACATGTGATACTTAGATTAACTAACAGCAAGACGACAGAAGTTATGTGTTATTTTCTAGTTGGCTAACTGCATCGAATGTTTTTTCCTGATGATACTAATTTGAACTGTCACCACGGAACCTCAGATTTTATATGTCTGAAATGATTGATAATATAACCAAGGCTGTTCAGGAATTAGGGTATTTTATTAGCCTACACAGAAGTTAATAAATCTTTATAACACATTCTTAAATTTTAGTTGAGTGCAAGAACTGTTCACAAAATAGCAATTACTGAAGCACATGCTCTTTTAGAGCTTAGGAAGCAGCCAGGGAAAATATAGGCTAGCCTAAATGAGTTCAACTTAAACACTAGTGTCTTGAATAAATTTCTGAAATTGATCTTACGTGTATAATCCATGGCAAATTAAAAAATGGTAGTGGTTACATGCTTCTACCCTCTCTTCCCTCCCTATTACTAAAAATGCATTCAAACATGAAAATTTGAATACTATGCAAATAAATATGATTTAGACTATTTTAAAGCATTTCTTTAAAGAAAATATGCACCCTAGTGTTCTGGTTCCACATCCACCCTTATGAGAAAAGTACTTACTAGGGTGATGTTTCTTAAAGTACCCCTCCCCTAGGCAAACCCCATGTGCTTAGAAATATCAACCAAGTAACTAAAAATATTTGGCCTCCAATGTCCTGTACTAATTACTACTGTAAATGTAATTTGTAAAAATAATACTTAAATATGAATAGTTAATATGCCACCCCACCCATTAACCTTTAGCATCTAGC